CATTGGTTATATATATTCCACATATGGAATTCATTGAATTCAACAACTATTTGGAATATAACATACATGTGTATATATATATATATATGTATGTGTATACATATATATATATGTGTGTGCGTGCGCGTGTTAATATTACTATGAATTATAGTATCAGTATTATATAAATAATGCGTCAGTATAGTACAGCACACATTAATACACTAGCAATTCTGCAGCGCTAAGGATGTGGGGTGAAACATCCATGGATTCCGACAGGCCAAACATGGACCAACAAACAGCCAAGACACATTCCCTATTACTTCATGATGCTTGTCAATGAAAAAAATAACATGATTTCATATGTGTCATGTAACATATTGCATCCACATTTTGGGTAATGCTCAAGGATATTCAATGTAATTGTTAGCACATTATAGTGCAGGAATCATGTGGGAACGTGAACAATTATATAATTGATGGTGGACAGTAGAAAATGTAGAAATCAATGAAGAAACTGAATCCGTACATTTTCAAGTGTCATCGCCAGGACAAAAACTTGGCGGAAATCCCCTTGGGGAATCCTTATGCAATTCTGAGCCAGGCTTGCTCACATCCCAACATATCCCATTTAATTATAGCCTCTAACGCTACCCACCGTCCTTGGGATCTAGCCTGCATGCTTCCAAAGCCCTTCGCTGGCATAAAGTCTCTGCTTGGTCAATGAACTCGTTACCACCATAGTATCGGGCTCCTGGTGGCGATGCGGTACCTGCCCAAAAAACACCCGTGTCACATGTCTGTACTTTTAAAACCTGCAGAAAAAAACTCATGAAAAAAAACATGCATGATTACTTCCTATTCTTTCAAAAACATATCAGTCATCCATCATCCATCATTTAAATCGTTTTAAATCTAGTACAAGTAAACAGCAAACACATTAAGCACTTCTTGCAGCTTAAAACCCCAGAAAACCATAGAAAGCCGCCCCCGTCCTGGATATCCCTCGGAATATTTGTTGACCATCACTGAGCCCACCGCCTCGAGCACCGGCACCGGTGCAAAGTTCTCGGAGGCGATGAGGTTCACACAACGGCGTTGCCTGACGGTTGACATCAACATCCAACAAACAAAAACAACAGAAATACCGGTGATTTTTTGGATTCAACTGATTTCAACTGTTTGTGTACTGTTTTTTCTACTGAGATAGTTGAGATGCTGCATTTGATGCGTTTTGGGGTGAGGTTCACCAAGGTTGAAGCGTAAAGCAAACACACCCAAACTGCAGGACTTCTTTCATTGTTTCCCTGTCTATTTTTTTGGGTGGGTTGTTTTGAATAACCGAATAACCCTGCCAAAATCTGCCAGTCCAATCCCGCTGCGGACCATTCTTCTGCTCAGCCACCTATCCTTCTCAGCTTCGATGATGTTGTAGATTTCGGGGTCCATCTCCTGATGGACACATCACACCGTGGAATCTGGAGGAAGCATCAAACACACTGCGAACCAATTCGTTTGGGGATGACCATGCATCCGTTTAGTGAGTTGTTACCGGTCATGCTCTGTCATGGTGGTGGTGGCTGTGGTTGTGGTTGTGGTTGTGGTTGTGGTTGTTGTTGTTGTCGTTGTCATTGTAGTAACTATATGTATGTATAAATGAAATGGGATTGATATGTGCACCTGCATCCAAAACTTCAAGAGAAACATAAAACATGTTAACATATTGTCCACCCATTGCCATGGGGACCCCGGGTCTCCTTCAATGGCGTGTTCAGCCTCATGGCTTCCACCGTGATGCCCCGCACAAAACTGCGGACGCCGCGGCTGCGGACGGCGCGCATGGCACGGACCGCCATTGCGACGCGCCACGGGTTGCCACGTTGCCACTGGGGTTGGCTTCTCTTGGGCCCAACTCCAGGAAAAGAAAAGAAAAAATGAATGAACGAACATCTTGGCACAACCATCGTAATTCGATAATATTATACAGATATGTATATATATATGATATATATGATATATATGATATATATGATATATATGATATATATATATATATATTATATATAAATGTGTATATATATAATCATACATGGATATACATTGCAGGATGTAGTACAATCATGACGTGAGCTGCAACCGGAGTCAACGTGGTCACTGGTACTTGGCCGACCTGTGCCACCTGCGGCGCAGTGCTCGACGCCTGGTTTGAAGACTTCCGTCGCACATGGCATCTGAATTCATCCCAAATGTCCGAAATTGTTTACGGTAATCAAACAATAGATAGAAAAATAACTTACACATTACTATATTATTTTCATCATCATTATATCACTACAGTTCAATAAGATTTGACATGTCTATCTATATGCGAAGGGTTGCTATACAGCTACAGCCTATAGCGCAACCAAAGTGGTCCCCATTCCCCATCTTCGGCCTTCTTCCGTCGTGCCATGCCGCAGCAGCGACAGAAGCTGCCGCTTTCTGCGAAGGGAGTGTCACCTGCGGGGTCTCTTGCCGCGTGGCGATGAGTACACTGAATAGTGTCTAGCAGCAGTTAGGAAGATCACATAATATCACTATAGTGAATGTATAATAATGTAAACATTCCATTGTGGTTTCATTATTGGTTATTGCATGTTATTGCTATTCAAGTATCACTATTCTTGATAATTAAATGCAAAACTATTCAGTGAATCATGTGTATAGGAGTTGCAAATAGTCAAAGGAAGTTTAGAAGTCAAACTTCCGACAATATGGACTATGGACAGATGGAAAAGCAGAGGTGGGAAGAGTCAGAGAAGAGGAGAGAAAAAGAGAGAAGATCAGAGAAGAGAAGGAGTCATAAGAAAGAAGATGGAGGTGCGCGAAAAGGTAGGAAAGCCGCGAAACACTGCGTTTGTCCAATGATTTGTGGCTCCGGAGGGTCGAAAGGTAGGCTCGCTAAAGCGGCGGGTGCGGAGCCGTCTTGTTGTCAAATTCAAAATCTGAGGAAGTCTCACAGAATAGCTTCGTTTTCAAGCCTGCAGATTGCAGATAGGCAGATAGATAGATAGACAACTACTGATAAGACTACCACTACACTACACTACACTACACTAATTATACTGCACTAATTACACTACACTACACTACACTACACTAATTACACTACAACTACAAAAACTACTTCTACCACAAATACAACTACAACTACACCACATTACACTACACTGCGCTAATTACACTGCAGCACACTACAACTACAAATGCAAATGCAACTGCAACTACACGACATTACGCACCACTAATTACACTTCACCACTCTAATTACAGCACACCACGCTAATTAGACTGCAGCAGCAACAACAACAACAACTACTACTACTACTGCTACTACCACTACTGCCATTCACTGCTGCTGCTGCTGCTGTAAACTACTACTACCACCACTATTACTACTACTACTTCTTCTTCTACTACTACTTCTATTACTACTACTATTGCTATTACTACTACTACTACTACTACTACTACTACTACTACTTCTACTTCTACTTCTACTACTAATACTACTACTACCACCTCCTCCTCCTGCCCTGCTAACACTCCTACTCCTACTCCTACTCCTTCTCGGACTCCTCTTCCTACTCCTCCATCTACAGCTACAACTACAACTATAACTGCAACTACAACTACACTACATTACATTACACTACACTACAAGGACAACTACAACTACATTACACAACACTACAGAAAACTAATTACACTACACTACACTACACTACACTACAAGTACAAGTACAACTACAACTACAACTACGCTACAACTACACTGCGCTAATTGCACTACACTAATTACACTCCACCACTGGGCTCCACCACACCACACTACATTACACTAACTACAACTACGACTACAGCTACAGCTATGCTACTTGACACTACACTACACTAGGCTACACTACAGCATACTACACGGTACACAACACTACCCTACACTGCATTACACTACATTACATTACATCAATTACACAACACCACAACTACTGCAACTGCACCTGCACTACACTAATTAGTTACACTACACTACAACTACAACTCCACGACAACTACAACAACAACTAGAACTACAACTGCATTACGCCACACTTCATCCAGTGCCAGGAGTTGCGGGTGAGGTGACCCCACCGCAACCACCCCAAAAAAACACAACTCCAACCACCTTTCAGTCCATCAGTGGATTCGCTCTGCCATCCATGCATCACAACAACTCACTTCTCCTTAGGTTTCCTATTTTTGAAACTTCCGCCACTGCCTTGAGCGTTGCTACTGGTAGTTATGAATAGTTTTGGTGACAAAATATCACAGTAGTACTCTGAATATGTTTTATTGGTTCAAAGGTGTACTAGTACCCTGAGTCTACCAGCTGTTGAAGTTTCGCACAGCAAATCAGAAGAAATGCCTCGAACTTCCTGCGGCCAAGTCTCAGTTCGGACAACAATTTCCATCAGGCACTGCCTGCGGCACCTGCCAACATCTGAGGGCCGCTTGGACCCAGAAAGTTCATGCAGGAATTTTGAAGCCATCCTACTTCCGCGTGAGCCATAAACAGAACCCCCAGGACAAATACCAGATGTCGAAATGTCGTGGGATTTTTCTCTTCTCATGTTCTCCATCTTTTTTCTGTACACCCCAAAAAAAAGGGATAAGAAAAGCTATGCGCCGCACTGCCGTCATTGAACAATATTGAAAGCGAAGTGCCCATCTGTTTTTAGAGTACAGGTCACAGTTCCTGCGGAGCTGGCACCGGAGGACGGACATCCGCAGCCTGGATCTGACGAGCCTGCAATGGTGGTTGCAAACCGGGTCCGGATGGGAAAAGTGGTGAATTTGGACCATCATCTCTATGGCTGAAAAGGGACACCATTTCAAACCACCAATCAGTGATGGTATATTTGGTATATTATATAAAATTATATATATATATACATATAGTATATAATCCACCATGCAACATTCACATGGCCTCTGCAGGATCA